TCTCTCTCTCTCTCTCTCTCTCTTCATTCCTCTCCCTCTCTCGTCCTCCGTCTCTCTCCTCCTCTCTTCTCTCTCTCTTCTCTGTTTCCTCTCGCTCTTCTTCTAGCTCTCTTCCATCCTCACACTCTTTCCTCTCCCTCTTCTCCTCTGTTTCTCTCCTTTCTTCTCTTCCCTCTTTCTTCCATCCTTTTCCTCTCTCCTCTCCTCCACTTCTCTCCTCCTCTCTTCTTTCCTCTGCCTCCCTCCTCCTCCCTCTCTCCTCCGTTTCCATGGCGACGGTCTGTTTTTCTTCAGGTGAATCTGACCCACATTTGTGACACGGCGTCTTATGTAACGCTCCGGGAATCGATAAACCGTAAAAGAAAAACGAGAAAAAGAACAAAACGGGAAAGAGAAGAACGAGAAGAACGAGAAGAAGAGAAGAAGAGAAGAAAGAGAAGAAAGAGAAGAAAGAAAGAAAGAGAAGATGAGACCAGAGGAAGAAGGCGACGGACTGGATTTTAGGGATTATTCTGACAAATGTTCTTTTTAAATCCTTCGCTGGTTCTAATGTTGTTCCTTCATCACAAACCTGAGACGTTTCACAGTCGTCCATGCATGTCTGACTCATCTAGGGATCTCTGCCGGACCCTATTCAAATCTATGGAAATGACTAATCATACATAAATACAATAAATATAAAAAAAAAATTAAAATATACAAATAAAGATAAAATATAAAATAAATAAATAAATACAAAATAAAAATAAATCATATACTAATCATACATAAAAAAATAATAGATAAAATAAAATATAAAAATAAAAATTGAATAAATAAATAAATATTATAATAAAAACGATAAAATAAGTAAATAAAAATGAAATAAATAAGTAAAATTAAAATTATTCATACATAAAAATAAAAATAATATATAAAAATTAATTAAAGAAAAAAATGATTAAATAAATACAAAATAGAATAATACATAAAAAAGATAAAATAGATAAATACAAATTAAGTAAATAAATACAAAGTCAAAATAAATCCTACACTAATCATACATAAAAATAATATATTAAAATAAATTAAATAAATAAAAAATAGAAAAATAAATAAAAAATAGAAAAATAAACAAATAATTTAAATAAAAATAGATAAAATAATAAAAATAAAAATAAAGTAATAAATAAAAAGATAAAAGATATTATTATATTATTGACAATAAATATACAATAGAAGTCGTTTCGGAAAGTGGAGCCGTTCAAAGCTTCGGGACAGAATCAAACGGCGATAAAGAACTCAGACCAAATGCTTCAGTACGATTTATATTTTCACACTTTTTATGACAAAAATCCATCTTTACAAAACTCAGAATATCCCCAAAACTTTCCAAAAAACTGTGTTTCAACGTCATAATAATATCTCAGTACAGTTCACTCACAAAAATAGTTTCTCACCAGTTTTCTTTCACACAATAAATATACAAGGTTGTGAAACGTATCTGTCCATTCTGTAAATACGTGACGTTACGGGAAACCGCTGCGAGGACTGAGGACTTTGAACGGGTTAAAAGTGAAAGTGAAACTAAGTCTACTGCAGAGACGTGAGCTCTGACACAAACATTTAAAGATTCTACTGTTTATAAAGTCAAACTGACTCCTGCCAGATTTCAGTCGTAAAGTTGTTCTCTCGTCAAAAACAGAGCTGGAGTCGTGTTTTGTTTCATTCGTGTTTGAGTAAATCTTTATTATGAGTCTGTGTCTACATCTGCAAAGCTCCAAACACTCTGTTCCACCTCGTGATGTCATAGAGTGGTAGTTAGGTTTGGTCGTTGTATTCGTGACGTCCTTTTATCTTTAGTTCAGTCGAGATTCCAGCACTGAAATGATCCAAATGATTCTAGACCTTCAGATCTGGTTTTAGTCCTGGTTTTAGTCCTGGTTCAGACCTGGTTTTAGTCCTAAAACAGGTCTGGTTTAATCCCGGTTCAGACCTAGTTTCAGTCCCAGTTCAGACCTGGTTCAGACCTGGTTTTAGTTCCAGTTCAGACCTGGTTTTAGTCCTGGTTCAGACCTGGTTTAGTCCTGGTTCAGACCTGGTTTTAGTCCTGGTCCGGTCCTAATTTAATCCTGGTTTAGTCCTGGTTCAGTCCCATCTCAGACTTTGCTTTAGTCCTAATTCAGGTCTGCTTTTAGTCCTGGTTTTAGTCCTGGTTCTGACCTGGTTTTAGTCCCAATTCAGACCTGGACCAGTCCTGGTTTTAGTCCTGGTTTTAGTCCTGGTTTTAGTCCTGGTTCAGTCGTGGTTCAGTCGTGGTTCAGTCGTGGTTCAGTCGTGGTTCTGTATCACCTCATGACATCACCAGGTGTGTCAGAGTGTTTTCAGTTTGAGAGAAGAACTTGTGTTAAATCTGCAGTTTGGTTTGTGAGTGAAACGTTTTGTGACTCCAGGCTCCTGTTTGTGGGTCTGTGAACTGAATCAGGAAGTGCACATCAGCATGCTAGCTCTGGATCGAGCTCTGTTTTAATCTGACATTTTCTTCTGTGATATGTTTGTCATAAATGTGTTTGACTAAAGCTGGTTCATGCTGGAGATGAGGTGCAGACAGGTGCAGACAGGTGCAGACAGGTGCAGACAGGTGCAGACAGGTGCAGGCAGGTGCAGGCAGGTGCAGGCAGGTGCAGACAGTCTGAAGATGTTGGAGCGGCGTCTCAGAAGGTCAGAGCTAAAACGGAGAGAGAGGGGAGAGGTTTAGACCAAAACATCATGCAGGAAAAACAGGAAAAAACAAGGTCAGAGGAGATTTAAAGGAGCATGACGGAACTTTTCTGGACATGTGTCACCTGGTGCTTTGTGGAGATGAGCTTGGATGTTGCACAATATGGCATTAATCTCTGCTAGGGCTGTCAAAAGTATCGAAAATCAGACAGGAATCGATATTAAAACTACAGTAGTATCGAAACTAGATCCTCATTTTTCACAGATATCGAAACAAAAACAAAAAATTTCAGGACAGAACAGAACTTTTCCTGAATGTGTTTAGAACAAGAACAAGACACAGAAACTAATACACACACGGACCTGGTTTAGTCCTGGTTTAGACCTGGTTTAGTCCTGGTTTAGACCTGGTTTAGACCTGGTTTAGACCTGGTTTAGTCCTGGTTTAGTCCTGGTTTAGTCCTGGTTTAGACCTGGTTTAGTCCTGGTTTAGACCTGGTTTAGACCTGGTTTAGTCCTGGTTTAGACCTGGTTTAGACCTGGTTTAGACCTGGTTTAGTCCTGGTTTAGACCTGGTTTAGACCTGGTTTAGTCCTGGTTTAGACCTGGTTTAGTCCTGGTTTAGTCCTGGTTTTAGACCTGGTTTAGTCCTGGTTTAGACCTGGTTTAGACCTGGTTTAGACCTGGTTTAGACCTGGTTTAGTCCTGGTTTAGACCTGGTTTAGACCTGGTTTAGACCTGGTTTAGACCTGGTTTAGACCTGGTTTAGACCTGGTTTAGACCTGGTTTAGACCTGGTTTAGACCTGGTTTAGTCCTGGTTTAGACCTGGTTTAGACCTGGTTTAGACACTTGGGAACAGAAAACAAAGTTCAACCATTTAAAATAAAAAGTCCCAGGAGAGTCTGGAACACGAGTCCAGCTCCTGGACACAAATAAAAACAGGATTTTAATGGTCGCAAGAAACTGAGTGTAAACAAGGTTCCCACGGTCATGGAACTCCTGGAAAAGTCATGGAAATTGAAAATGTCATTTTCCAGGCCTGGAAAAGTCATGGAATTTTAGTATCTCTTTCACGCAGCTGCAGCGTTCTGTTCGATCACAGAGGCCAAAATTAAAAACTGGGACAAAGTCGAGGGTCAAACTAAATATTTATTGAAACATTTCAACAACATCTGCAGGTTTTCTCTTCTGTACACATCTGTAAGGTTAAACCTTTATTTTAAATTCAAATAAATGTTTAATAATAGTTGTGCTTACACATTGCTTAAACAAGCATAAAATACATTTTTAAATAAATCATGTCTCTATAGTGGATCTGTGTGCGGCTTCAGCTCTAAAACAGATTTGATTTGATCTTGTGGGACAAATATATTTATATCACGGGCCAGATTTTGCCCCTGGGCCTGAGTTTGACATGTCTGAGTTTGATGTTTATAAAACATAAAACATAAAACATTTATTAGTGCACAAAGGCATCAAACTGATGTGTGGTAAAAGGAGTTTAATGAACCTAAACTTTGTTCTATGTCATGAGGTTCTTTTTTTCAGACCTGGAGTTTTATTTCATCCCTGACAGTTTCGTCTTCCTCAGAGTCACGTGATGTTTCTGTGTCGTGTCTGGTCAGATGATTTAAACAGGTTTTGTCTCTGTCTTCCTACTGGTGGAGGCAGGACGACAGCGCCACCTTCAGTCCCACTTCCTCTGGACCAGACACGTCACAGCAACATCACGTGACTCTGAGGAAGACGAAACTGTCAGGGATGAAATACACTCCAGGTCTGAAAAAAAGAACCTCATGACATAAAATATCGGAAAACCAAATGAATCTCATTGGACTAAACGTTGTTATTCAGCACAAAGCACATCATTCAGATTTCTGTCGGTGAGCTTCTTGGAGGAGGAGGAGAGCGACCGGGGGCTCCCGAGCGACCGGGGGCTCCCGAGCGACCGGGGGCTCCCGAGCGACCGGGGGCTCCCGAGCGACCGGGGGCTCCCGAGCGACAGGTCGGAGACTCCTGGTCTAAAGAAAGAAGTTTTTAAAATCCCTGTGGTATCAGAATCAGTATTGATTCATTCAAAGGTTCTTTGTATCGTTTGTTCTTTTAAATTCCAATTAAGAACAAAAATCTATCAAATGTGAAAACAGTTTGTTATTTAATTTTTCCATTTTAGTGTCAAACAAAAAAACAACAACTGATTTCTGTCTCTGTTTCCAATATTTAATTTAAAGTTTATTTCAAGTAACACCAATCAAAAACAGTCTCGGTGCCTGTTTCACTTTGGATCTTTTATTCTCTCTGGTTTATTTAAATTCTGCTGCTCAGCGACGTGAACTCAGAGTCTCGTGATCCTGTGACACAGATGATGTCTTTTTATACTTTATGATTGAAATAAACAAACAAACACATAAATCAAAGGAGAGTTTATCGCTGCTTCCCGTTTCTCTTCATGGATCAACAACGACTTTCTAAGTGAAAAGTAAAAACGCGCCGCTGTAAAAGACGACGACATGTTTGTCCACGAAAAAAACTGCAAGGATTTTTCAGGTGAGTCGTTCAGCAGCAGAACTTCAAATAAACCAGAGAAAATAAAATATCAAAACTGAAACAGACCCCAGACTGTTTTTTAGTTGGCTGAAATAAACTTGAAATTAAATATTGGAAATAGAAGTTGGAATCTGTTTCTTTGTTTTACTATAAAACGACAAAATTAAATAACAAATTGTTTTCCCATTTTATTGTTTTTTGTTCTTAATTCTTGATAATTTGTTCTTAAATCTTAGTTGACGGGACTTTATCAAGATCGATACCTGTGAAAAATGAGTCCACAGTTTCGATATCAGTTTTAGTATCAATACCTGTGAAAAATGAGGATCTAGTTTCGATATTATTAGTATTAGTTTTAGTATCGATTAGTGTCTGCTTTCCGATACTTTTGACGCCGGAGTCTCCATGGAGATCGATAAATTATATGTCATTATTGTGGTTCACTGATGGTAAAAGCATCACATCTCCATGGAGACGAGCAGGTGGAGACCCGTCCACTGGAAAAGTTCCGTAGTGCGGCTTTACTGCGTCAGTGTGACTCACAGTCGGCCTCGATGACGGAGCGCACGCTCCGGCTCAGATCCTTCGCCTCCAACGCCAACGACGCCGCCGTCCAGGAAGACCTCTTCACCCGCGGAGCAACGACGAGAGACGCACCCGGCCTCAGCTCCACAGGACTGAAGAGAGAGAGGAAAACCGTGAAACATCTGATCATCCTCTGACCTTCTCCTCTGCTCCTCTGACCTTCTCCTCTGCTCCTCTGACCTTCTCCTCTGCTCCTCTGACCTTCCTCTGCTCTGACCTTCTCCTCTGCTCCTCTGACCTTCTCCTCTGCTCCTCTGACCCTCTTCTTTGTTCCTCTATTCTTCTCCTCCTCTGTTTCTGCTCCTCTCCACTGTTCCTCTGACCTTCTCCTCTGCTCCTCTGACCTTCTCCTCTGACCCTCTGACCTTCTGCTCTGACCTTCTCCTCTGACCCTCTCCTCAGCTCCTTTTTTCTTCTCCTTCTCTGTTCCTCTGCCTCTGCTCCTCCAGGCGATGCTCTGCTCTGCTCTGGATGCGGTTGCCGTGGAGACCAGGTGGTGCTGATGTTGTGAAAGAGGAGCCGTGTCCCACTGACCTCCAGATGCGAGCACAAAGCCGCTTACACAACACTTCATCTGATAAAGACGGATCTGACCCGGACTGCGCCGGGACTCTGGACTCAAGACCGGGTCAAGACCTGGTTTAACAGACCCCCCTCCCCGTGAGTCAGATGCCCTCCCGTCCTCCCCGTGAGTCAGATGCCCTCCCGTCCTCCCCGTGAGTCAGATGCCCTCCCGTCCTCCTGTACCTCTGGGTTTCAGAGTGATGAAAAATTTGAACTGTTGCCATAGCGATTTAGTCTGATTCATCAGCCGGTTTTACTTTGTTTCACTTCGTACAAACCGTGTGACCTGCAGCGTTGGGATTCGTTCGCTCGACAGGAGGCGGGGACTTTTTTATTTAACCAATCGCTGCTGTTTGTATTTTAAGCTTTTCCCAAATCCTGCAGGAAGAAGAACAATAACGTCTTTCCCCGAGTTCAAATTCACCAAACCTTCTCTTTGTTCTGACTTTAAATCCTCGGGAATCTGGGGAATGTCTGTCTCTTCTCTGATTGGCTGGAGCCTGAACTCACACTTCTGAGGTTTTTGTGAATCGTCTGGTGTTTTCTGATTCTGATCGAGTCGCTGGAAAGAAATGAAACTGAGCGGAGGAACTAGGAGGCGCCAGCCTGACTAAAAGCGATTACCAATTAAAAACTAAATCTTATGTTTTGAAAGGTGTAAAGTTATCAAAATGTTGCCTATAAACAGGAAGCTGACACCTGTGTCAGATGCCCTCCCGTCCTCCTGTGTCCATGAGTTTCGAGTGATGAAAAATTAGGACTGTTGCCATAGCGATTATCCATCCATCCATGTTCTTCTTCTTCTCTGGGGTCGGGTCTCAGGAGCATCAGTCTGAACAGAGACTCCCAGACTTCCTTCACCCCAGACACTTCCTCCAGCTCCTCCAGTGGGACCTGAGGTGTTCCCAGTCCAGTCCAGAGACATGGTCCCTCCAGTGTGTCCTGGGTCTTCTCCTCCTCCTGGTGGGACATGAACACCTCCTGAGGGACACGTCCAGGAGACATCAGAACAGACGTCCTCCCCTCAGACGCTCCTCTCCACGTGGAGGAGCAGCGGCTCTACTCCGAGCTCTGATCTGGTCCTACGGGTCATGACCAGAGGTGAGGGGAGGAACAGAGACTCAGCTCCTCTTCACCACAACGACCGATACAGCGACCGCATCACTGCCCACGCTGCACCTGTCCACCTGTCAGTCTGCCCACGCTGCACCTGTCCACCTGTCACCTGTCCACCTGTCAGTCTGCCCACGCTGCACCTGTCCACGTCAGTCTGTCCACCTGTCAGTGCCCACGCTGCACCTGTCCACCTGTCAGTCTCTCGCTCCATCCTGCCCTCACTCCAGAACAAGACCCCGACAGACTTGAACTCGTCCACTTGAGGCAGAGACTCTCCACTCGCCTGGAGACGACAAGACGACTTTTTCCGGTCGTGAACCACGAAACATTCTGTTTTGAAAAGTGTAAATTTATCAAAATGTTGTTATTAGATTCTTTTTCCAGACCAAGCGTTTCTTTTCAGACCTTTCAGACACTTTCGACTGCTCCTCCTCAGTCTCGTGATGTTGCTGTGACGTGAGGCAGGACGACGGCGCCATCAGCTGTAAACCGGGACGAGGGGCTTTTTTACTCTCACACACCTGGATACTGTCCTGAGGAAGTGGGACTGCAGGTGGCGCCGTCGTCCTGGAAAACAACTCCAAAACCTGTTTAAATCAGCTGAGCGACGCGTCACAGAAACATCACGAGACTCTGAGGAAGACGCCAGGAGCAGAACAAAGTGTCAGGACGAAAACAAACTCTTGGACCGAAAAAAGATCCTCATAACAACAGTTTGAACTTTACACCTTTCAAAACATCTGTCTGTGTGTGTGTGTGTGTGTGTGTGTGTGTGTCCTCCTGTTTGTCTGAAAAAAGAACCTGGTAACATCAGAAAAACAAAAGAACCTCAGATGATTATCAAAATGTTGGAAGCTGAAACGTGCCTCAGATGCCCTCCCATCCTCAGAGAAAGAGCAGGTTTTCTGTTGTTGCTGGGCAAATATTGGTTCATTGGATCAGTGTGTGTGTGTGTGTGTGTGTGTGTGTGTGTGTGTGTGTGTGTGTGTGTGTGTGTGTGTGTGTGTGTGTGTGTGTGTGTGTCTTGTCCTTTAGATAATCCAGGAGTGAACTGGTTTAAGTGTGACTGGTGTCTGGTGTCGAACACGACTCCTCTTTTCTTTTCTCTTTTCATCATATACGACCTTTAATTTAAGGGTTTATTTTCTGTGTGAAACAGAACAGACAGGAGCAGACAGGAGCAGACAGGAGCAGACAGGAGCAGGCAGGAGCAGGCAGGAGCAGACAGGAGCAGACAGGAGCAGAGAGGAGCAGACAGGAGCAGACAGGAGCAGACAGGAGCAGGATGTGAGCTGACCCTGTCTTTTCAGATTGTTATAAAAGAAGCAGCGGGGGAGAAGTGGGCCAGGCCTCCCCGCGTCTTTAACCCAGAGACAGAGCCTCACACTGGGCTGGAGTCGGACCCCATCCCCCCTCCACCCGCCTGGAGGAAGAGCCAGACCTGCTCCCGTCTCAACCCCAGGACAGAGCTCCACACTGGGCCAGAGTCAGAGCAGCGCAGGCCTCCTCTGGATCCTCACGGTCACGGGGTTTTTTATATCATGAGCTGCCACATTTATATTTCAGTTTCAGAATAATTGATCTGTTTCACCAAACTAAATGTTAGAATCACTTTGAATCCGTGTGTCATTGGTTCATTAGTTTTTTAATATAAAACCAAAAATAAAAAATTATTTGTCTCCAAAACCAAAATGAAAAACAGATAATGATTTTTTTTTTTCAGTTTTCGATTTTGTGTTTAAATGAAAAATTGAAAAAACGGATAACGACCGTTTCCTGTTTACGTGACTTCAGGACTGTGATGTCGGACTTTTGCACCGCACACGGACTGAACCAGGACTGAACCAGGACTGATCCAGGTTCGGGACCAGAGCGGGACCAGAGTGGACACTGAGCTTTGACTCCGAGTCTCCGCGGGGTCCGAGCCTCAGCTTCGAGCTCAGGCCCTGCTGTGGGCTCTGAGCCTCGGTCTGGTCCCGGTCTGGTCCTGGTCTGGTCCTGGTCTGGTCCTGGTCTGGTCTCGATCTCAGTCCCGGTCTGGTCTTGGTCTCAGTCTCGGTCTCATCCCAGTCTCAGGCCTGGTCTCAGTCCCGCTCTGGTCCCAGACCTGGTTCAGTCCTGGTTCAGTCCTGGTTCAGTCCTGGTTCAGTCCTGGTTCAGTCCTGGTTCAGTCCTGGTTCGATCACAGTCACTGAAGTCACGTAAACAGGAAACGGTCGTTATCCGTTTTTTCCATTTTTCATTTAAACACAAAATCAAAAACTGAAAAAATGAATCATTATCTGTTTTTCATTTTGGTTTTAGAGACAAATAATGAAGAAAATAGTTATTTTTTCATTTTCTTATTTTTGGTTTTATATTGAAAAACAAATGAACAAATTAGTTTTCATTTGTTTTTCTTCCAGTGGGACATTAAACTTCTTTATCTCCATGGAGACGAACAGATGAATGGATGTTTTTAATGTCCTTTTTACCCGAGGTTAATTA